TTTGGTGTCACTTATTGTCTGTTAACATACTTAACCGAGGACTTAATTTTACAGAATTAACCTTACTAGAACTCCCATTTTACAGGGGGTTATTTGAATTTACCCTTTTACTTTTAGTTTTATGCCATGCTATAACTTAATCTAATCATGGTCAATTTTTTTTTTTATTGGAGGAGTTTAAAAATTCATTTCACATATTACCATTATTAACGTAATTACATCAAATTGACCAATAATTTTATTTAATTAATATTCAATTTTTTATAATTAATATTTAATTTTATCCGATTAACATAAAATTAATATTCAGTTTCATCAAATTACCACTAAATTAGCCATATATTTTATCAAATTAATATTAAATTTTGTCAAATTAACATTCACATCCATCAAATTATCAATCAATTCATCCAATTAACATTAAATTTTATTAAACTAATACCAAATTAATATTCAATTTCATAAAATTAATGCTCAATTTTCTCAAAATCACTTTAAAATTCATCAAATTTACTACCAAATTAATTCAATTTGATCTAATTAACATCAAATTGACTATCAATATAACATTCAGGTTTAATCAAATCAACATTAAATTTCATCAAATTAATGCAAAATTTTACCAAATTAACGTAAAATTGATATTGAATTTTATAAAATTATCATCTTATTCCAAAAAATTAACATTCGATCTCATCAAATCGATATTCAATTTTATTAAAATTAGCACCAAATTAATTTTTAATTTTATTAAATTAACCCTAAATTAAAATTTAATTTCATCAATTTAACATCCAATTTCTTAAACGAATTAGTGTACACGTGCTTTACAAATAGATTATTTTGAATAGTAAATAATATATCATTCTCTTACAGATAATCAAATATGATATTAATAAAAAAATTTTAATATGTGTTTTGCACTGAACCAGAGGAACAAAATGGTTGTTGCATATGTTGATATCAACTTTATTCAACTCAGTGCATAAAATTCATATTTCACAACCAAACTCATTACAAGATTTACTTAAAATAGTTAATAATAGTCTTTTAGTACAATAAACTAATATTTCCTATAACTGTTGTCATGAAATATTAGATTTACCCTTGACTTTTCAATTTTATATAGACATGATCAAGTCATAAGTATTTATTGCTCGTCCATTCAAGTACATGCGTAAAACATATAAATCAAGTTTCCAAAAAAAAAAAACATAAAACACAATAAATATCAACTTAGAGTGATTATAAACCGTCAAAAATTAGAGAAATTCATGTTGACTATTACACAGATAATAGAAAATCATCAAAAAATGAATGATTGACAATGAAAACAATAATAAATATTACAAATTAAAGATCGGTACTCGGCATACATTTGTGTGTGTGTGTGTGTGAGAGAGAGAGAGAGATTACCTCTTAGGGCAATATCTGTAACTTTAGAATAAGCCTCTTGAGAGGGTAAGCATTCCTTTTCTGTTTTCTGCGGCTTACCGCCTCTTCATTGAAAGCAATCAAAGTATTCCATCTCTCTCTTTAGTATCTGTCCAGCAATATTAAGAAAACTTAAACATGAAAAACAAAACAATATTATAAGAGTAACTTTGTGACTCTAGAGTCGCAATGATTAACAGGAAGAGTTACAAACTTCCACAGTTACACAAGTATGAATTTTAGTTCAATTAAAATAAATTTTAATTTATATCTTAAAAGTATAAATTGTAATTGATATATTAAATATGGATACATTGAATGCATATGAATATTTATGTGTACAATCCATAGAGTCATTTCGTGATCATTTGAAACCATTATTTCATATTTTTAAGACACTAATTCTGAAATTATGGTCGTTATTAGGTGAAGAAAAATTTGACTTTAAAATATTAAAATAGGGTAAAATAAAACAATTTTTTTTTCAAGATAGTTAGCATTTATATAGAGTATAGTATATATAGATAAATTATAAGATTTAGATAATTCTGTGGTAATGATATTTGTTATTAGGACCACACAACAAAATATAATATTGGGAAGTTTAATTTTTTGAGGTGTTTGAAATTGATTCTAAAATTTTAGGATTGAACTTAACATTTAGAATAAATGCTTATTAAATATTTTTTAAAAATATATATAACTTGACCTGTGAAGTTTTATTTTTTTATTAATTATAGAAAAATATAAAAGTAATTTGAATAGTTAGGCGTAAATGAATACGAATAGTTAACTATATAATGGATACAAGGACCTTTATATTATTTATAAGGACACAATAGTCAATCAAAAGTTTTCATTTTGAGGTACTTTTATTAATAGTATAATAATATAATATAATATAGATATAGATTAACATCATTTTTTGATTGAATTTTAAATTAACATTTAATTTCATCAAATCAATATCAAATGGTTATTTAGTTTTATAAAATTAACATTCAATTTTATGAATTTAATATTTGGTTTTTATCAAATTAATATTATTTTTAAAATTAACATTCTATTTAATTCAAAAAAAATGATAGAAAACATTTTATTGAATCTAATTAGCGTTTAATTTAATTAAATTAATATTAAAAGGATGTTGTCTGCTTGTTCTATATGGCCAAAGGTAAACTTGGCAACTCATAAGAGAATAAACTTTCACTTCACCAACTTTTTTATAATGACATATATTATAGGAATATATGTGAAACGCGTATATAAACTATAAGAGTATGCAGTGATATATAAGAAAATAGAGAAAATTTTAGTGAAATATGACTTAAATTTAGGAGGTATTAATAAGATTTACCATAATATATATAGCACAAACAGAAACACAATTATGCAAGATTACAAACATGTCGTATACCAACGACAACACAAAATACGAGTCCAAAATCATACAACCCATCATCAACCCTACTTAGCACCTAATGAAATTATGCTAGTAATTAGGTCGCAAAAAACAGGTAGATTTTTCTTTTCCCCGGCCAACTTTTGTTTACTCAGTCGATGTTACTGTTCTTGCTTTATCTAGATTCTCAATGTTTCTGATTTTCAAAAGCCATGCTCATCAACGGCTACTCAAACTATGTTCCTCCCACACAAACTTGTTTTTTTTTTTTTTGGTGGCTACAAACATTAGGAGCTTGAAAAACTGTAAACAAAAAATAAAACTTTTGTAACTCAATGGGAAGAGTGAAATTTAAGCTAATTAAAAGTACAAAACTTTATCCCCATAACATATGGTCTCTTTATTATGATTTTGAGGCAAAAGGAATCAAAACCAGCTTTTCCCAAGGAGATCAGTCAGCATTATGGTGTAATTAGTGTATTTCTTCTTGTTGTTGCTGCAAGGCGCTTAGCCCCAAAAAGTCCATCTTGGTATATGCTAACTCTATAGTATAAAGGAAACTCCTGATTTCGACCAATTGTATCGTTGGATCAATGGACCTCACAAATTTCACTAATTATCTAATACGCCCCTAATTTTGGACATTTTTTATGCAAGTTAAAGCCCTTTCATGAGAGTGAAGAACCGATCTTCTTCCTATCATAGTCAAAATGTCCAGGGAGAATTATGAAAGATGATCTTCACTTACTTTAGGAGACCACAATCAAGCAAAAACCCTCAACTCTGCCTGAAATTATCACTGTGCCATATTATTTGGGTTATAAATTTTGGTAAAAAGATGGAAACGTCATTTCCCAATTCTTTTAGCATTTTGGTTAGTAAACTGGGAGGGCTCCAGAATCCTTAACTGCAACTTGACTATGCTCTTTTTCTGTTTTTGTATTTTTTTTTTTTTTTGGGCATTATTGTGCCAGAAGGAATCAATTTCCAAACTATAGTACTTTGGGAAAATTTTCTAAGTACAATAGTAATAATTTAATTTTCAACACCCGCAATTTCTAACTTATTTCTTCATTCATATATATAACTTCCGTAAAAATGTGGGTTTAATGTATAAACACATTTGCAAAGCACATTTTTAGAAAAAAAATCTTCAACACATCTTTTGAAAATAAATTTTTTGCAATGCAATGTGTGAGTTCAAATTATGCTTTTATAAAAATTGTGGTAAATTTTGGTAAAAAGACTTGCATTTGAAGATCGGTAATGGTACGTTGACCAAAATTAGGGATCAAATAAAGAACTTAAATGATATGACAATCTAATTAGTCTTCAAAATCAGATGTCATATCATTTAATAAAAGTGTCAAATGACATGACAGTTGACTTGAAAGACATTATTATCTTATCATCCTATTAAGTCAACTACCATGTCATTTAATAAAGAGCCCAAATGACATGACAACAGACTTAGAAGGTTAATTAGACTGATGGGCAGCAGACTTAGAAGGCTAATTAGACTGATCTAAATAAAGAGTCAAAATGACATGATAACTAACTTGAAAGGCTGATTATTGCTTAATCAGCCTTCCAAGTTAGTTGTCATGTCATTTGAACTCTTTATTTGGTCCCAAATTTTGATCAGCATATCATTACTTTTTGAAAATTACTAAAAATATGTCATCTTCCGGAAGTAGAATAAAATAAAAATGGGTGAGCCCCACAACACCCAAAAAATTTCTCAGCTTATAGAGATAGGAACCTCCCTCTTTTTAACAAAAGCAACGCAACCCACTACCTATCTGAAACAAAACCAGAGATACCAATATTTATAGCTCAGAGGCATCACTCCCAGATCTCTCCTCCAATGGCTAAAACCAGAAACCCCAGAAAACCTACCAAGGAAAAGCAACATCACCAAACAGTCCAAAACCACCACCACCACCACCACCAAAAAGTCCACCACCACCACCCCCAGGAACCTAAAAAGCCACATTCATGGGCAGTTTTAAGAAGCCTTTTCACCTGCAAACACCTTCAAGGACAATTACAGCAACAGCAGCCACAACCACCAAAACAGCCACAAGAAGAACAGGAAAAGAAGCAAAAACAAGAACAACATCCAAAAATAGAACAACAGACGCAAGAAAAACAAGAGAAATCCATGGAGGAAAGCAGCAAAAAATGCAAGAAAATGAAGTGTTCAGGCTCACTATGTAGCAACACAAAGGTCATGCACAGGCCTGAACCTTCATCCCCTGAAGACCAGAAGAAGAGGGCTTCAATGGGCTTATGTAACAGTGATGGCTCCAGCAGATCCATGAAAGCCCCTCTCAATGAACTTAATGGGGCCTCTGTTTCCACTTCATCTTCTTCACTTTCTCTCTCTTCTAATTCTCCTTCTGCTAGTGGATCCTTCAGGGGGATGCCTTTTAGGAGACTGTCTGGGTGCTATGAGTGTAGAATGGTGGTTGACCCTGTTCTTGGAATCACAAGAGACCCTTCTCTCAGAGCTACCATATGTCCATGTCCTGAATGTGGTGAGATCTTCATGAAAGCTGAATATTTGGAGCTTCATCAGGCTGTTAGACATGCAGGTAATCTCCATTTCCTTCATTTCATTTTCTCTCTCCATTCCAAGGGCACAGAAACAAAAAAGACCAACTTCTTTAATATTCGCACTAAACTTTTTTCTTGCATTTTGGTGTTCATTGTTTCAAGACCTAGTAGTCTAATACCCATGTCCCAATTTGGCCGTCTCTAGTTTGAATAATAATTTTACTGCTCAATCTGAGCATCTCGGTCCGTTTCCTTCATTTCATTTCCTCTCTCTATAACCTGGGGACCAAAAACACAAAAACACAAAAACCAATAAGTTCTCAATTTCATATTTAAAACTTTTTCTTGCATTTTGGAGGTTCATTGTTTCAATGCCTAGTAGTCTAATACCCATATCTCGTTCTGGCTGCTTCTGATTTTTGTAATCTTTTACCCATCAATGCTCAATCTGAGCATCCCAAAAAAAAAACCCCACCCCAAAACCCAATCTACCCTGTTCTCCAGGCTGTCACTCTAGTTTAAATAACCGACACCCATTTCCCAAATTGACCATCTCTCCCTTTAATCACCCCAAATTTTCAGTACTCATCACCGGTTTCCCAGTGTGACTTGCTTGTCTCATTCAGTATCCAATACCCATTTCTCAAGAAAACACACACACAAACACAAATTAAGTACTTATTTCAGTGTTCAGAACTTTACGTCACCTGTTTTCCCTTCCAATAATGCTACTGAGACTTAACAAATTGACTTAATTTGATGAATTAACATGATCTAGAGTATAAATTACTCTTATTTTGTTTAAAAAGTTGTAATGGCTGATAATTGATTGAAATAGTGATCTAATCAAGTGTGCAAAAAAAAACTTCACAGTATCTGAGTTGGGTCCAGAAGACACAAGCAAGAACATAGTGGAGATTATATTCCAATCAAGCTGGCTCAAGAAACTTAACCCAGTATGCAAAATATACCGCATTCTCAAAGTCCACAACACCCCCAAAACCATCTCAAAATTCGAAGAATACAGAGACGCCATTAAAGCCAAAGCCACCAAGTTCCCAAAGAAGCACCCACGTTGCATAGCAGATGGCAATGAACTCCTCAGGTTCCACTCCACCACCTTCATGTGCTCACTGGGCCTAAACGGCTCGTCTAATCTCTGCAATTCAATCCCAAATTGCAACGTTTGTAGCATCATAAGAAATGGGTTCAAGTTTGTCGGAGAGCCCACCGGAGGACTTGCTGGAAAAGGAATACTGACGACGGCGACGAGCGGAAAGGCGCATGACAGTGCCGGAGTGGAGTCGGAGAATGAAAAGAGGGCGATGTTGGTTTGCCGCGTGATTGCCGGAAGGGTGAAGAAGAACATGGAGGGAAGTGGGGAGGAGTACGACTCCGTTGCCGGAGCTGCCGGAGTTTATGCTAATTTGGATGAGTTGTACGTGTTTAATCCTAAGGCTATATTGCCTTGTTTTGTTGTTATCTACCAGGGGTTTTAGGTTAATCTATGCACTTTTTTGTGTTACGGAGCGGAGGTTTTAACATTTTTTGTATGGAAAATAAGACTACATACACAAGCCCAGCGATTGGTTCAGTGGGTTCTCGAAATTTATTGATTAATATTTGAACTCGAGTCTTCACAAATAAGACACTTTAGTAAGACTAAACTTATTTTTTGTCAAGAACACACGATAGGATCTTGACTTTAATCTTAACGTAATTGCGAAGAAACATGCTACGTATAATTGTGTGGTGTTGATGTATAATATTTCTTAATAAATATATAGAGCGGCCAAAGTGTGGTAGGATAGTTGCCTTCTTCATTAGAAATTTCAACTGTAACTCTATCTTCATCATGTTTCATGGAGATTAAAGAGGATTAGAATCCCCTTAAATGCAGGTAGACTAGGACCCTCTTCTGTTAATCAAATTAACCACCCATGGGTCTCCCATAAACTAAACATCCTACTCGATAGAGATACTAGAAAAAACAAGGTAAAAAAATATTATAATTCTAAAAATAGTCATACAACATTAAACCAAAATGAAAAAAAAAACCCATATAATACCAGGTAAACTGTTTTCCAATGCCAAAATTGAATTTGTCATATTTGAGACTAAAGTAACCAAAAAAATTATTAGAGTTAACGAGTTTTATTATTTTAAAAGTTCTTTTTGAGAATTAATCATCCCAAATATGAAATGGTGCCTCGCATTAGTGAACACATGTGAGTGTCAGGTTGGTGTTGATAGGCACATATTACCTTCACTTCCTTTTGTGCAGTGTGCGATGGTGTTTTGTTCTTTCTGCCCTTGTTTTTAGCCTGGATTTGGTCGCGCATGAGTTCTACAACTGTGCTACATTTCAATCCCAATTGCTTTGTACTCTCTCTCTCTCTCTCTCAGCTGATGTTTGGACATTATGTTTGTTTGATTTTAAGTAGGGGAAAACAACATGAGATTAATGGGAGGCGTTGAAACTTGAAAAGTATAACTTCCCTTCATGAAACCGTAGATTCTAAAAAGATGGGTCATATTCTTTAAATAAGGTTATTGTCTATAGCAAAATTTGTGAAGGGTAATTGATAGTTAGGCAACAACATTATCCTCATATTGGAAAAATTGATCTTGAACTCAAATTAAGGACAGTCTGATGCAAACAAAGTCGTAAGTCTAAAGTTTTAAAATAAGACTTTTTTAATATTTAATATAATAATATACGTAACACTAAACAAGTATTAGAATCCAAATAAGTTTATTTGAAAATAATTAAAGTCGAATTTAGAGGCCAAATATAATTAAGTCTATTATGGGTGGAAAGTTATCAAATAATCAATAATTGTAGTATAATTTCATCACCCTTTTGCCAATAGTAGGGAGAGAGAGAGAATGAGAGGTGGGGAGTGAGAGAAAACAAATCTCTGAAACACATATTCTCAATGGTTTTAAACTTTTTAGATGTAATGTTTGAATATGTTATAATTTGTGTCCTCTTCCTTATATCACTAATTTCACTTTACTATTACACTATAAATCGATCTGCACCATATTTGAAAGTTCGACATGTTAATAGATTATACTTAAATTGAATTTTATCAAATTCAAATTCAGTTTTTTAATTCGTATAATTGAATAGAAAACTAATATATATCCGACTAATTTGATTCTATTTTAGTTTAAATTCTTAATAAATGATTGATTTGTTATATATATTCAACCCGTAGTTCTCATCTGATACTAGTATTTGCGCTGCTATGGCCCATAATGATTTTTCTCATGTGGTACTTTGGCACAGTGCTTTGCAGTTTTGGACATTGGAAGCAGTAAAAAGAACAAACACATGCCCGGAAAAAGG